TTATATGATACATTAGAACAGAGTCGTATTTACTTAAAACTACGACTATATGCAAATATACATATAATTTTATACGGCCGACGGCCACAGTATTACAGTATTTTCATTTCTTAACGCGGGCTATACGGTATTGAGATTTTTTTATTTTAAAGTCGAATTTAGGTGGGGATCCTCGGGAGTTTCCCGAATCAAATAACAAAAACTAAACATTCGCATCACCGAGAATTAGTTTGAAGATTGTCGAAATTCAGAGATTACAATAATAATGTTTACGATAAAATGTACTTTTCGTCATACTGACAACGATAGGAATATTGTCGAGTTTTCTTGCGCATTCTTGACAATGTTAGGGTCCCCTCAATCGCGGGGCCCCGGTACACAGCATCCGCCGCACCCCCCGATGGCCGGCCCTGTGAGGACCGGTCGCTCCGTTGTAGGCCTGGCCGAATCCTTAATAGGCTTGCAAATAGAACCCCTCTTAGCTGTAATAATTAAACAAAAAAATTCCCTCTCGGAAAATCGCCCGTGTCGTGTTGCCGTAAACGAATAAAATCTAAACCACCCTTTGAGCCCTCTTAGTACCCATAGAGTGGTTTACAACACGGGACCTGGCAGAACGACAGGTTCTTCCGGGTCCCGACGTAGCCGTCCCGAAAAACCCAGGGATTTTTTCGAGAGATACGTCACGACACGTCCTCACCACCGGGCTGAAACCCCACGATTAGCACGAGAAAAGTGCTTATGAATTTTACCGAATTTCCGGTGTTAGAAGGATCGATCAACCCATTCACCGACGAAACAAAGAAAAGTTGTTCGTTCTTTTTAATTCGCAGATTCTAAACTTTTGGAAAATTTGTCCAACAGTAAAAACCAAACGAAAAGACAAAAATCTTCCGTTCTTTCGACACGGGGCATGTTTTTGTATTGATTCGTTAATAGAATTCGTTTCTACGAATTCCGAATTTATAAAACGAATACCTAAACCATAATTATCGCTGGGAATCCGCTAATGGATTTTTAATGCTACACCTCGTTAACACGTTGGATTGACGTATAGAACACTAAATTGCTTCCCACGATCGATGCCCGCTATATATATATACACACCTCGAAACAGAGGTTCTCTATCAGTCGGATATGAGGCCTTCCACCGTCTGCTTCCTTTTCGTTTTAGCTATGTTGTTGGCCTTTTCGGCAGGTGAGAATTTTTTCGGTAATTTTATTTTCGGCGAATTTTCGAACGATTGTATTTCTTTTCTATTTGGCAGGAAACAAATCGGGAACTCCGACCCAAAACTGCCGGGTCAAAGAGAGGACGGAATCCACCTCTACCACTATGAAGCCCAAGGGAAAGGCACCGGCTAGACCTAAAGGTATTATGACGTCGCTGATGCGAGGAGCGTCACTCTGAGCCTTCTTTTCTGCGATAATAAATTATTGCCAGTGATTACGATTGTCTTTGGTGTGGTTTAAATTTACTCGCGCTGTCACGATTTGTATCGGTAAGGTTTTTTAGGGTTTGGTTTGATGGGACGCAACGCTTAGGCCATCTAACACGAAGGAATGCCTCCCGGGAGGACGTATGGTAAACTGGGCCCATTTGCGTATTAGACACGAAGAAAACCAGAAAAAACGAATCCAGTCCTGGGGCGGGTGCAAACCCGTGACGCGAATTTTTAAGGACTCGCGTTTACGCGAGAAATTCGGCCCGTCTTTTCGTTTTTTACGCATATTCGAAAGCACCGTTATTTCTAATCGCGGTATTTTCGCCATTAACGGACAAATTCGGAATTGGCGAGGCGATTCTTCGGCCGTTGCACCCACCTGATATTTTTAAACACTTTGCACGTCGAACAAGTAGCCGTAAAAGAAATCTCAAAATATTTTAGGACGTGCTGCTGCAAGAACCAATCAACCGAACAGAAAAAAAAACACGATTTGCTTAGAATGGCTTAAATATTTAAAACTAGTGGTCGACCGTTTGAGTTGCAACATTTAATATATCCCTAACCATAGGTGTCCGCAAAAAATTTTCCGGGGGGAAGTTCGGGAAACAATTATATCAATACATTTATTTATTTTTGGTTTTTTCCACAAGTAGATTATAGAATATAGTATTGCATCAAAGCGCCCCACTGTCGAAGGTGTAAGATTGCTTATCTCAAATCATTTAAGACAGGGGTGTCCAACCCGCGGCCCGCATGCGGCCCAATAAACGTGTAAACAAAACTGACAAATGTTTTAATTTTTTTATTATATATTTATTTCAACGGCATAAACTCAAAATAGAAGTTTCACAAAGTCGTAAACCTTTATTCATCTTTTACTTTTCAGTGGAAAGGAAATATTTTCAAATACTTGGAGACGTGTGAATGAGGAAGGATTACTAAATAAAGCTGGAGTTGTGACTCAAAGAATTATAGACCCAAATTTGGGAAAGGAAAGAAAGGTGAGAAATGACAAAAGTAGTAGTAGTGAGAAAGGTTAAATAGATCTTCTGTTAAGCAAATATGGACCCGTAATTTTTCAACCTTTTTCACTTCTTTATCTTTTGTCCTTTGCCTCTTTTTCCCCGCACTTGGGTCTATAATCCTTTGATTCACAACTCCAGCTTTATTTAGTATTTCTTCCAACGTTGCAAGATTTGGCTACATTGGGCCAAATGTGGCTACTTTTTTTGGTTTGACGTAAAAAATATCATTTGGCGCTTTGACTGCTTTTTCGGCTACATATTATTTATAATTATATTAATTGAATAAAAATGCACTTTAAAATGGTGTTTCGTCGCTTTTTATTAATTAGAGACCCAAATAAAACAAATATTTGTGTTTTTCAAATAAATTTTCGTTTGTCTTTTTTATAGTAAATGAATTTGTCTATTTCTAAGTAAAATTGAAAGTGTCTGTAGAAGTAATTTTTTAAAATATTCTTTTTCGTGATAAAGATTTAATACTTATTATTATATTCTAGATGTGTTAATCCTTTAGTATACTTGTATATTGGGCCACAAGTATATATAATATATACTTGTGGCCCAAGTACAAGTATATATAATATATACTTGTGGCCCAAAACTCCTTGACTTCTTCCAATGCGGCCCAAAGAAACTAAAATGTTGGACACCCCTGATTTAAGATTTTTGGAAGTATCTAGGAGCAAGTGCCCGTTTACCCCTTCTACGTTAAGGACGTGAGCGTCCGTACACATTCACGAATTGATGCATTCACACTTATCTCTAAACCAGTGGTTCCCAAACTTTTCGGGCTATTGTCCACCTTTTAGTGCATATATTTCTTATATACTGTTTGAAATGAATGGGCGACAAGTTCATTTTGTCGCCCTGTCCTTCCAAGGCTCGAGTCATCTCTCGCCCTCTAGGAGCACTGAAAATCGCTGCTCTAAACAAAAACATTTTCGGAAGTTAGAGAGATTTACAATTTAAAATCGACGTCGTTTTCAACTATAAATCTACAATCAATATAATATGGAATTTTTAAATACTGTACAATAAAACACGAAATATTCTAAGAAATGGATATTTTGACATTCGAAATTTACTGATGATTATTACTTTTTAAATATCAGATTTTATTTTTAAAAAGTTCAAAAGGTACAAAAATGGAATAATTTATTACGAATACTCACAATTTTCGAAATAAGTACATTGAAAAGGGAAAATTCATCTTCCAGAATTTAGATAAGACGATCGACTAAAGCGCAACCACGAAGTCATTCGAGAATGTACGGAAAGGTCGAGTTTAATCTAATTTTGGCGTGTTAAAATATTACCAGGGCGTAAATGGGGTTTCGAAAACAAAGCGCTAACATATTTATACAAAAATAATATAATAATGTTTTTTATATAAATCTTGTACATATGTAATACTGGAAATTTTGATGAAGATCTTTTATCCACTCATCACCATTCGCACGAAATCTGAAATCAGAAAAAGTGATAATTAAATTATGTATCTATGTGGGCCGTCGAGTCTATTCGGACCCAAACGAATATATAATTTACGTAGGGACTTCATATTTACCACTCGTGTTCAAAATTGCCTTAATTTATTGGCGTAATTAATATAATTAAGCATTAGCTATAGAAACAATAAAGTTTTAAATTATACAACCGCCATACAAGATAAAACGAAACACAGTATGATGTAGGGCAGGTGTGTCAAACTCATTTAAACAACGGGCCATTAACGTGACTGGTAAGATTCACACGGACCACTCATATTTACAAATTTTCTTAAAATTATAATTTGAAGTGAGAATGCAGGAATATAGATAGGACAATTAAAACACATTATGTAGAGTTCAGTGAATTCAATTCAACAATATATAATTGCTATAGTATTGCTTTTATTTAAACATTTATTTTATTTAATGTATATATTTATAAAACGAATTGTTTTCACCAAAAACTTGCCAGAACTATCTTTCTCCTAGTTTTCCAATATTTGGATTCAAAAACTGAGAACAATCTTCATTATGGCAGGTAGATGTTTATCAGTTAATCTTGATATGCATGCAGTTTTATTTAATTTCAGAACATCATGGCCATGAGCCAAGAAATATCATATTGGGGGCTGCATACGTAGAGCAGGGGTGGCAAACCTATGACATATTGGGACAATCAACTGGCACATAACATGTCATACAATTATGGTTTACCACTCTTTTTATCATCATCATCCTTTTTTCAAACAGCTTCTTTACCTTTATTCCAATTAAAGCATGATCAAAACAGTCATGCTTTAAATGTTCGACGTGTTTCATTTCTTTAAATATCATTATTCAAAGTCCAAAACTTCGGCACAGATAAATATTTTTTAAGATAATTATGCTCACTATATGGTGCGCACACTCAAAAAGGTTTGCCACCCCTAGAGCCTTCAGTATGTATTTGAAATGGTTCACAGGTAATATTAAAATAGGTTTCTTTGGATTGCATTATGACAAGTGTTTCAATACATTTTTCAAAATTACAGATAAATACTACCTGTATCTTTTACATAAAATGTTAAATTTTTTGTTTCATAAATTTATATGTAGCCAAGATGCAAAAAAATACTGGAAATGTAACTTGAATATCATAACACAAAATTCTGCAGTTTAAATCATGTATAAAAAGATATTAAATTGTATTATCAAAATGTAAATTATCTGTGAATAAAAAATATAATTTTTCAAATCTGTCTGAGCAGTTATGGAATTATGTGTACACAATTTTACAAAATAATACTCTCATCTTTAGCAAATTAAGACACTATATAAGTGAGCTATTGTTAAATCATTTATAGCAATTTACTAATTAAATCTAATTGCAAGTTTGATTAATATTGCTTAGCTATTTGTAGAGTGAAATGTATATATCATCTCATTTTGGTTGTTTGGAGAGAGCCGAAAAAGATTCTGCTTGGCTCCCTCCCATTCATATTTGCATAACTAGTGTGTGTATTGCATCCATTCTCTCATCTATGCTAACTAACTACATACATATACAAGAGAAATTAATTTGCTATACAGTCCATAAAGCAGTCTCACATGAATAAACTGTCCAGTAAAAGTGAGAGATGGAACATGCCATCCCAAGAACCCAGCCTGGATTCCTCAAAATGACTGGCCTCTAGCCACCAATTTCATAACATTTGAAAAAGATTTTGACTATGATAATTCACTTACAAATAGTACACACTACTGGCATCTAAAGATCACTGGTAGCTAAAGAGAGTTGTCTTCTTGCACACAACTGTTTAAACTGAGATAACATTTCAAAAAAAAAAAATTATGTAACACATTCAAATGAAACTAAGTAAATCTTAGAAAAACTATTGATAATAGAGAGGTTGCAGCCAAAGTTTTTGCCTCTAAAATGTCAACATTGAATGTTGTGCACCACCATCTTGTAATCCTAGAATTTTGACAATGGTGTTTGAAATGTCAAGCATGGTGAGTAGAAGTTCGGCTTAAACGTCTGCAGCTTTCTGTGTTTTGGGTTAAATTTATGAAGTATTTTGTTAAAGTAATGATTATTTAAGCATTTGTGAACAACATTGTAAAGAAACAGATGATTTTAATCCAGTAATTAATTAATTATTCAAGATGTTTGCAAGTGATGTGAAATGCCTATAGAATTTTTATACATTTGTGTTCATAATAGCTTATCATAACACTGTAGAAGTAGGCTTGTTCTTTCACGGCATCTTTCTCCATCAACAGCATAATTTGCTTGTAAATTTCTAAGAATAATTTCCCAAGCTGCATTCGGATTGTCATCTGCATATGGATTTATATAAGCCACTACACTACCTCCCTCAACAAAAGTATGTTGCAAGAACAGGCAAAACACATTGAAATTGTCCTATTATTATATGGTATGGTAGGAGACATGACACTAATTAAAGTCAAAAATAATTATTTAGTGTTATTAAACATCCTTTAAATATTTTAAAATAGTTTAATTTGTTTATTTATCTTCACTGGTAACCTTTGTTGTTCTTAAATGTTCCATCATTTTTCAACAATATCCCATGAATCAGTGTGTGACATGAACGTGTGGCACAACGTGTTTTACTTGGAGTTCAAATGTCAAATGTGTACTTCTGCTTGCCATACAAGTTTAAAGTTTGAACTTTGGCTGCAACCTTTCTATTATATCACAAAAATAACTTTCAATTTTTCATACTAATTAATGTTTTAACTCTATTATGTAATCATTTATATTAATTGTTCATAATGATGAGAATGACAAATATGTTGATCTCCTACTACTTTTACATAACTTGGAAGAGATGTTTGCACAATCCCATACAAAAATTTTTCAGATGTAATAATTCAAACTAAATATTGCATCATTATTTTATGTCGCTTCTTCTTGTGTTTGTTCAGTGAAGTGTTCGTTGTCCGCAATAACTCAATAAATTCAAATCTATTCTTATCATTCAAGCAATAATGTTTTCATTTTTGGCTCTCTCCATCCTATGAGCACTAAAAAGACCTTTATTCCATGCCCATCTTGAAATCAACAAGGGCCAAAATGGGGCTGTCAGTCAGTGAGGGACGTGGCCAAACATTCAAGACTGATCCTAGAGTTTTCTGCCCAAATTTGATTCTGGGTCCCTCATAGGGATAAGGCCAGCACATATACTGTATCAGCCATCAAACCATATTGATGTTTGTATTAAAAAAATTAATCACAACTGTTTAAGATCAAATTGTTTGTGCAAGACACAAAAATGAAATTTCAAGAAATTGCATAAGTAAATTAAGAAATATTAATGGATTAGATGTTACAATATTATGCTAAGAGATTGGCAGATTATTTATATTGTTAATTATTAATTTCTATTGAGTTTCTATAATTTACACACCTTCATAATGAACATTTCCCTGGGAATCTTCTTGTCCAGTCAGCAATTGTTCAACTTCATCGTCCGTGAGTTTTTCACCTTTAAAATAAAAATGCGTTATTTAACAAAACATTAAATTCTTCAAAACAGAACTAAATACCCCCACAACACTTAAGTATGAAAATATGCCAAAATTCCACTTTGAAAGAAATCAGAAAATTGTCTCTCATCTTGACATAAAATTATAACTAAATCTCATTTTATTATTACAATGGTTGATCGGTTAACAAACATAATCTGTTCCAAGACTTTGTTCGCTATCTGAATTGTTCATTAACCGATTATCGATTTACCATAGGTTTCTATGAGAATTTGATTAATTCGTTCTGGAGACCCCCCAAAAAAATATATACTTTCTTACTAAGTTTATTGATATGTAATAATAAAAATACATATATACACGTCTTGCATTTTTATTAGTCATGTTTTCTCCATTTGAAGGTTAAAGAATCTGTCCAATGTCAATTGATTTCCTCTTTTCTTCAGGATTTTTCAGAAGTTATTAATAGCATTGTTGTTGTAGAGATCCCTAGGCCTATTAACCTCAACCTGATTTGGATGCCATTTTAAGACATTGTTCTGACATCCTCCCATTTCTTTAAAAGATCTTTAATAGCAGATATCAGCATAAATCCTCTTTTTCAGAAGAAAACATAAAAGAATTGTTTCTGCCAGAAATATAAAAGGCTGGAATTACAAGGGAGAGTTTCAAAGTTTGGGGGAATACTATTCAATTGGTATATACTGGGTTGAATGTCAATGTCGACGTCTCCCGCTCTCCAAAAAGTTTCAAATTGCCTGAAAACAAGGGAAGACCAATTGGTATTCATTATTTTATGTTGCTTCTTCTTGTGTTTGTTCAGTGAAGTGTTCATTGTCCAATCATAAAAATCTTTTGTAAAAGTGATCCGATTTGTTCATTAACCGATCACCCACTGTATAGAATACTTTGATAAATGCAAAAGTATTTAGCATATTTGAAATTCTTAAATTTGTCAGAAATTTATTTATAACAAACAGTGAAAAAAATGCAAACTCAAGCTATAACAGAAAAAATTCAGCTAATTCAAATCTGTAATTAATTTCCAATTTCCTTAAAGATCAATCTGAACAATTCCAAGTTACATTTAATTAGAAAAATACAATCATGATCTGTGAAGAATTTGCTGCATAAGATTTTCATTTTAGAATAAATTTTTTGTAGTGGATAGTCATCTTTCAAATTTGCTTAAGCAATTCTTTTTCTATATATATAAAAATGAATGTATGTGTGTGTGTGTCTGTCTGTCCTTCATGCATTACCACACCGTTTATCCGATTGCCGTGAAACTTTGGGAAGTTGTTTAATATACTCCGGCGAAGGTTTGTGGCATAGTACGATTGCCATAAAACTTCAGAAAGTTTTTTAATACACTCCTGCGAAGGTTTTTGGCATAGTACATTTATCCTATGATAGATGGCATGCGTTTACACGAGCATTCGAGCACAGTGTGTTCGATCGATTTCAAATTGTGAAGACCATTTCCCCCCTTCAAAAAAATCTCTATATATGCATTTGTAAACTGTTATTTACGATATTCGTAATAATGTTTGTTTAATCACTTTATTTCAACTTTTTTTTTGCTAATTACGTATTCGCTCGAACTTTGTTAAAACTTTAACTGTATACCGAACAACAACCGAAGTTGTAGGAGGAAATTCGCCTATTTTACCGATTTAGGGATCCCCTTTTCCAAATTTTAATATCATCTAATAATTTAAAAAGACAAATTACAATAAAACAATTTATTATCCGACTATCAGAAATTTCACAACACGCCAAGGAAGAGAGAAAGAAGCAATTAAATAATTAAAATGATAAAGGATTAAAAAATATATATAAAAATGGGGAATATTGCACTTCTGACAATCGCAGCGAGTGTGTGGGCTAAATTTGGAGAATCCGTGCTTCTCGCATGGACAACTGTATGTGGCCGGCTCACGCGTCGAAAAACCTTCCGATTTATTCGTGTACGCACCAGACGGAAAAACAAAAAATATCGTGTATCCACAAACACTCCAATAAATAAATAGAATTGAAACGACACTTTGAAATGTTTTCCCGATGAAAATTAATAATAATAATAATAAGTTTCAATAAAAATAATAAAATGTAAATTGAATTTTATCATAACGAGTTTGCTTGAATTTCCTTTCTTCTGAGATCGCAGCAATGAGCGACGGGTAAGCTAGTATAATTATAAAATAACCCAAATTTAATATATTAAAACTTAATTTATATATATACCCAAAGTTGTCAACAAATGACGAAGCTCTGCGGAACATATGTAGCCATTTCCATCTTTGTCAAAGTGACGGAGGCCTTCAATAAAATCTTCAGCAGTATCCGTGCTACGATTCTTGTAAATAGTTTGAAGAATGGGAAGGAATACTTCAAATCCAATACGCTCATCTGTAAATTTATAAATAAAGTAATTAGTATCGCATCATTGGATCTACATTTGAGTAATCACAAAACAAATAGTGAATTAAAACAACAAACTTTGTAATCAAAATTTAAAAGTTAATTTGTAAAACAATCCAAAATTATCCATTATAAAATTTTATAAAAATTTATCTAGTCATTTAATAAACAAATCTTTTTATAATAAATTTGTTAATTTCTGTAGTTATTTTTATTATTACACGATAGATTTGACAACTCCTTAATAATTATGCCTTAACGTTCCATGTTTTTATGTAAAATTTCTTTTATCATTTTCATAAACAGCAGCAATACAACATAGTCATTCTTAATTCAAAATATAAATAATTGAATCTGAAGTAAAACAAAATCACTCTTGAACTTCATAAATTACTCTCTCCCTCAATTTTAATTTTTTTGAGATGTTTGATTCAGTATAAGTTTAACGCATCTTTTTAAGAAATTTTATTTAAATATGATCAAATTTACAGATAAACACATTAAACTTATATAGCAACAAAAAAATATTTGTCTTGTTAGCTATTGGCAAGGAATTTAAAGATTGTTTAAAGTAATTATACTGATGTAAAAGACAAACAGTATCATGAGATTTAAATAGAACTCAGAGGTTGCCCTGAAAAATTTTAAAAATTACCAGCCATTTTGCCAGTTTTAATTTTTTTGCCACTTCAAGTTATTTATCACCACCAGTTTTACTTACTGTATATTTCCACAGATAAGACAATAGTTGAATCATAAAAAAAAAGCCCCCACATAATCAGGTGTTGTCTTATAGGACAGATACAAAAAAAATTAGATTGAAATTTATATATATTAAAATCATTATAAAAAAACAGAAAACCCCTAATTATTTACTAGTAGACAGGAGGATATGTCCAAAAATAGAATAGCCCATACAACGTTTTGTGAATACTCAAGGTCATTACCCGAATGCCCGAATCAGTGTGAATGTATGCAACAATAGCAAGGCAGTGCTGCCATATGCAAGAAAATAAAATTTGTTCACTTGAAAAATTACAAATAGGACATAATTCCGTATACGCTATACTATTACTGATCTAAACTAAATTCATAGGCTGTTGATAGTTTCGGGGTTGTCTTATAGGACAGATATATGCTAAAACTATAAAACTTTGACAAAAAAATTTAGACCTCTTCTTATTTGAAGTTGTCTTATCTGTGGAAATATATGGTACTAATTAATGCAGATGTTGGTAAACCTTATCAGTTTGGCATATGGAAAACAAAAGTAACACCTTAAGCTGTCACTTACAAATTAGCAATAGGAATGATTTTCTAATGAATAATTCTGTGACCAGAGGGTCGGCACCTCCTTTAGTGTCTCTTCAGAACTGACACCACTGTCTTCTAGGATAGATACAGAAACCTTAATGGCCGCAAATTTGGAATTTGCACGAGCAATCACATGTGCGGGCGACCGGATTCGGAATGGAGGAGAGTTGACAGACAGTGGATCAGAAGTGAATCACTTGGATAAAAGGGTAACAACTAAAATAATCAATTTAGTTCAATGAAAAAAAATGCATCTTCCTATATCAAATAATGGTCGAGAGAGAGAGAGTTTACAATAAAGTGCAAGTTGGTATAGATACCTTTGATGCACTTATAATTGTGTGGACTTCCTGATGGATGAACTTCGGTTGGTCGTTCAGTCGGGAATCCAGGAACAGTTGGTGAGGCATTAAATTTTCCTCTTCCTTTAATGGCAGTCAAACTAATCGAGAACTGGAGGATATACTAATCCATATCGTTGGGAAGTTCAAAGGTATTCCTAAAGGAATACAGGGTATGGCATTCTTGGTAGCCTGGGCGACGACAATTCCTCTCCTTTATTCCAGGACACTAAGTTGATGTACTTGCAGACTCTCAACGACCCCTTGTCCTTGAATCCCTCCTTTTATACCTTCAAATCATGTTATCCTTTTTCACCAGTCATGAATTTTTGCTATTAGTTCCCAATGACACATTTGATTAGTTCCCTGGGAAAGGAAATGACTCAGGAGAGAGATGCAATCATCCTCCAGTAATAAAATTTAAAAAACTTTTGAAAGATGAAAAATTAATTTCCTCTCCCAATTTTCGTCAAGTCCGACTTTCACAAGTCCAAGCAACACATTTGATCACAATGTTTAAACAGTATTTCACATGTTCTTTCATGTCAAAATCTTTACTTTAGCTGACTGAAAAAGACCAAAGTGAAAACAGTCACCCCAAAAAAAATTTCCCAAATTTTCTGTCTGTAAAAAAAAATCCCCAACCTAGAAAACTTGAATTTCAAAACAACCATTTTAGAAGTTTTAAATGTCATGTTGTTAGTTAGGGGGAAAAAAATACACAGATCTGTACAGCAAATGTTTCTCAATTGATAGAAAGTAAATTTTTTTGCAAAGCTTATTTGAAAAAGATGTGAATATCTTTTTATTTGAAAATAATGTACTTATTTACATTAAAAAACAGTGCAACATTTTCAATATTTAATAATATTTTAATAAAGTTTGTAATGTTAATGCACATTCAAAAAGCAAGTAACAACTTTGTAAAGTTCATGAAAATGTTTACTAATTTTTTTTATTAAGATATCATGCACAAAAAGTCATTTGTGACAGCATATAACTTTTGCCATCTTAAGATAAACACACTTGGATAGAAAAAGAGAGGAGAAGAAAAATCCATCTGCAATATAAGTTACAGATGTCTGCCTATCCATCTTAGTGTGTGCTGTCCGTAACTTACAATGCAGGTGTATTTCTTTTCTCTGCTTGTTCCATCCATCCAGTGTGCACTTATTCTTAAGGCCCACAGGACAGGACAAAAAACACAAGCAACTTCTAAAAACCAAAGACAAGAATATGAGGCAAGGCAGACATATACCTATACTCAATTATTACTGTGGGATCTTTACAGAATTCATTCCAATTGGATTTTATGTATGCTTAATTGCTGCAAATATACTGTAAAATAAATTGAAAGTTCCTGGCACATAGATTGTTTTAAAAAAATATTATGATTGAACAGTATAAGACAAATTTACAATTAGAAATATCTGGAAGCTTGCTAATTTAACAGTATGTGCCTTTCAGTCTGACCAACTATGACATGATACCAAAATATAGCAAACATGTTAAATTTGAAAATAAAAAAATTAAATAAAAATTAGACACTAGAAAAAATAAGACATTAGAAAATAGTTGTGTTTAGGTAGTTGTAGTTTAACTCATTGTAGAGTCAATTGTCATTGCAAAGCTCAATTTGGAAAAACCTGATAAACTTCATCTTTTGACTTGCAAGGTCATAAAAAAGAAAAATCATTCCACACTAGCAAGGTTTTTTACTGATGGGCCAAGTAAATTCCACGATGCTTTATATTAAGAGTCTTGCTAACTGTATTTGTTTTATATTTTCAGTAATTCTGTGGCCAAATATGGAACGGAGTTCTGCTGCTCTTAAACATCAAGTTTTGTATATGCTAATGGCTTGACAGGTTTTAAACACTTCCATCCTAATATGATACATTTCACTTGTCTTGTACATACAGTGCATCTCATTGAGGAATAAGTTAGAACTTTATTCCCTGCAGTCAAGACAATTGTTTCTCCATATCAAGATATTCCTTAAGGCTCCTTTACATATACAATTATGTAAAGAAAGACTTCCAGAATTCCACCACAATCTATCCTAAGGTGGGGGGACAGCTGAAATGGCAGTGTTTTACTTCAATAAGAGGTTTGATAAAAGGGTAAGCTTTTAGCTATTCTTCTAGAATCTGGGAAAGGTAAACAAATAATCAAGTTTTGTTTTGCATTACACTTTCAGATTATTGATGTGCTGAATAAAGAAACGTCAATGGATATTGCAGCTTTTGCAGTTCCTAAAGCAACCAATCAACTGATATACATACAGAAAAAAAATAGCATTTCTCACTTTCAGTTATCAGCGTTAGGAAGCTAGAAATAGCTGAATTGGCATTCTATAATTTAATGAAAACAGGAAAAAAAACTATTTTCAATTTGAGTGTAATTTCAGGTATGGAGCCAGCAAAGGAAAACCCTGGATATGATATAGTTAAGACACACCTGTTGCCTACACAAAGAAGTAACACACAACTTTGCATTTTCTGTGCTTGTTGAACTTCACCCAATTTTAAATTTTCTCCAGTCACTTTATGTGCTGTTGAATTCTTGTTTTCCCCATTTATAAACAAAACATTTACAAGTGTCAACATAACAGTTGAATATATGAAACAGCTTATTGTTATGTACTGTAAAGGTCAACATGAATAAAACTTTATACTACCTTTTTTTACAGCCCAAAAGTGGGATTTTAATAAGTTAGGACTTTAATTTTAGTGTTTGCCATCTTTTTCTTGGCTAAAACTGCCTAAAAAGCCTTTTTAAACTTTTGTAATCTATCTTATTACAACAACAAAATATTGATATTGATGTGATAATGGAGAGTACAGGAAAAATTTTAACTTAGTTCACATCTGAGAACTACATAACAAGCTTCTTTGAGTGCTGCAAAATTTTTTGATACCCAATAATTTATTTAAACTAGTTAGGATGTCAGTTTAAAAATACAATTAGAAAATGTTGAAAGAACATTGGTAACAGACTACATCTCTCAAAAACTTCTGTTAAGTTTTGCTATTATTTGCTATTCTATTATAGTATGTTACCTAAAGATTTTCTTAACTGAACTGCAGGTCTGAAACTTTATTTATTGTTCCATTTTCCATGACATTTTGGGGCTATATGCCATCATCAGATTACAATATTATAGTTATATTGTCAGAATTTGTGATTAAATTTTTAGAAGTTTATTCAAAAAAAGATTTTTTAAATAGTAGTGAGAAAGAATATTTAATCTGTTTGACATATAGAATCACATTCACGAGTCATCAAGTAATCAATTCTAAATGGAATATGCAAAAAACTACATCTGAATATTACACAGCTTTCAGTTCAACCACCATTATCAGTTGCACCAGCAACTTTTAATATTTTTTACTATTGGGTTTGTGTTTATTATGTACTTATTCGTAATAGAGTTTGTATTCAATCTTAATATCATCATCATAATTTTTAAATGAATACTATATAAATTAAATTTACCAGCTTTAAGTTGATGGCAGCACTTCTTTACTTCCGCTTCGGTCGGATTTTGTCCAAGAGCCCGAAGAACATCGCCCAATTGGGAAATGCTGATCTTTCCATCTCCACGGTTATCAAAAAGTGAAAATGCTTCTTGGAACTCTGAAAAAAAAATTTGTTAGTTTTGTTAGCTAGTAATTATAGATTTAAAATAATAAAATAATAATTTGATATTTTAAACAAAAATGAATTTAAGTTAAAAATTTTAAAAATTGTCCATTTATGAATAACCAAACTAGACAGGCAAATGTTATCACTCGTCATATTATGCAAATAAAATGCATTCATTAATTTAGACATCTGGATTTAAACAAACCGAATTCTGCAATTCATTAATGCTTTTTGTATTCCTGTTATAAAATTTAAAACTTTTTAAATTTAGTTTTTAGAATTAAATACAGAGCATTGAAGCATTAACATATACTTTACATAGTAATGATTACATCTATAACGAATAACAAAAACTGAATATAAAATTCTGACATGACATTTATGAAAACGGTTGTTTTACATTTGCATTTGTTTATTACATTTGTTGTACTTGCATTTCATTTATATTTACAGTTACATTTGTCTACCTATTTCATGAAATTTAAAAATCTTGAAGCTACTTTTAAATTCTTATAAAATAATTTGGAATCAAATGCATTAGTAAGTTTTAATTTCTGTTCTTTTGTAGTTCAAAAATATTTGAACTAAAAAAGATATTAAATAATTTATATATAATAATTAATAGTTCTCAAATTTCCTTTGACAGATAATACAGGGTCTTCCAAAATGAATGCTACCATTTTAAATTACTGTAATTATGTTAATTACACAGGTTGTCTAAAAAGAAACCGAGCATTTGCTCTAGAAATACAACTAGATGGCACAACTAGTATCAATGGTCAAATTCAAAATTTTGAACATTATATTATCAATTACGCATCAATAGCATTTGAATCATTCATAACAATGCTTTGTGTGGCGTGAAACGTAAGGGTTATTTTGCAACCCTTGTCAGAAAATTGCAATGGAGCAATGTGCCAACATTAAGTTCTACATATAACTAAAGAAAACTTTTACCGAAACATTTAAATTACTGAAACAAGTATATGGGGATGGGAATATGCCAAACACAAGTTAAAACTGGTTTAGTCAATTCAAAGATGGCAGCAAATCAATTGAAAACAATCTGAAAATTAGTCACCCAAAGACGTCGACTATAAACAGTAATATTGATAAAGCATGTCAAATATTAGTAAAGGATCCAAATGTGACTTGTAGAATGTTGGAAAGGAGTTGGGAGTGTCAAAGGACTCCATTCACATAATTTTACATCATCATTTGAACAAACATAAGGTCTGTTCCCACTTTGTTCCACATGCACTCACCGAGGAACAAAAACAGGTGCTCATTCATCATCGTCGGGACATCGTCAAAACAGCTCACTGCAATCCAAATTTTCTCAAAAATGCTATCATGGATGATAAGACATGGTGCTGCCAACACGACCTGTTGATGAAACTTCAAAGTTCTGTGTGGAAGACATCAGACAAGCCCATACAAAAAGAAACTGTTTCCATAACTTGCAGGTCAAGACCATGCTCATCTGTTTTATGACTCCAAGAGTATCATGCACAAGGAATTTGTCCCAAATGGCCATAATGTTAATGGAGATTATTATTTGGGTATTTTGGAAGTCTTTGAAACCAAATTTTGTGTGTATGGCCATAGTATTGTGGTCAAGGAAGCTAGACACTGCTGCACAACAACACACCCTCACAAAGAGTACTGCCATTCATCAATTTTTGGCTCAAAAAGGTATTGTAACTCTAGACCATCCACCCTATCCAGCTTCCTGTGACTATTTTCTGTTCCAAAACTTAAAATTCCAATGAAGAAGACTCGTTACAAGGACATTCCTGAGAATGAGGCTGCTGTGACTGCAGTACTGAACCAGGTGCCAAAACAAGAGTTGAAAAAGTCCTTTGAAATTCTCATTATTCATTCTGAATGTTGTGTTGCTGCAGAGGGATCTTATTTTCAATAAACAAACATATTTAAAACATATTTCTTGCAAGTTTTTTCTTCCTAGAGCAAAAGTTTGTTTATTCTTTAGGTTTATTCTACAGGTTCAGACAACCTGTGTATTATCTGAGATGTATTCAACACACACCAATTGATGGAATAACCATCCGAGTCATCTTCCATCCACATTCAAATGTCTTGTTGTCTACTACCTCTAGAAAGTGCCATAAACAAAAATGATGACTGAACTGAAAAACAAAATGCCTTCTCTGTTGTAAAATCAGAATTACTTGTCATTGTGAGTAATATGCAGGAGCTATAGAATCATGGCTGCCATTGCAAAAGTAGAAAGAATTCAAGTATCAGCCAAATGTGCCACATGACAAAAGATGCATGCTTTGAGAAATTTTAATGGACAAATATGAAACTTACATAGTTTCCAATGTTTTAATATACATTGTAACATTCTTGGATAATAATTAACATAATTATAATAATTTAAAATGTAGTGTTCTTTTTGGAAGACTTTAGATTTGTGCCCCAAGAATGGACTTTAGACATCTTGAAATGCTCGAAACTGATTTTTTAATGATTGCTCCAATAAATAGGTCTTTTTATGATCTTAAATCATGATACTCTAACAAAAAATGGTATTTTTCATTAAAAATATAGTATTTAGTATAGTAAAAGTATAATAATAGTATTTTTCATAAAAAATATTGCTTTGTTTAAAAATATTGCTTTGTTTAAATTTTCCATAAATTCCAATAATATCGAATTCTACAAAAGAAAATAATCCTGTTGCAATTCCAGTAAAATGTTTTCTTTGTAAAAATTAATAAATTTTTTCTTTATAAAGCTACATTATACTGTATTATATTAATGAAGCATGAAATACATTTACAGCTTAACTTTTTAGATTATTTTAGTTAAATAAGTTCTTGTCTTGATATCATTTTTGAATCTTAAATTTAAGAATTCAAAGCTTTGCTACTTTCATTTTCAGTACATTGGTTCTGAACATGAATATGTAAGTAGTCCCACTTAAAAAGTTTAACCAAAATGTTAGTGAATATAAAATTAATGCTAATTGAAATGTTTTGAAAACATCCATATTTTCATTAATAAAAATAAATCACTTTTATCACTTATTCTTTACAATTTCTAGAAAAGTGACAAAAGAGCCACATACAAGTACAGGTAATCCCCGTATAACACGGTACTTTTATAGCACGGATTCGCTCTGACATGGTTCGAGAATTGGGTAAAACCCTCGTACAACAGGAAATGTAATAAATATGAAGATATTTATCTTAATTATGAAAATATACTAGCATGTTTTTTAATTTTTGGAACCTAACCCTCCTTTTCGTATTAGTTCTTTGTTTCGTATAACACGGATTCGCATAACACGGCAATTTTTTGGAACGTAACTACCGTGTTATACGGGGGTAACCTGTATAACATTGAAAATGCTATCCTGATAGAGAGGTCATTTTCATTTTGGTATTAGATGTTTTTCGAGTCCATTTGTCTTCAGATACAACTTTCATATTTTTGAACATCTGTAGAGCTTACAAATACTAGAATGCATTATTTTACACACTGAAAATACTAGAACAACTTTTTAACCAAAGAATTTTAAGTTGAAAAACTATCTCTTTGCATTTTATACAAATGAGAATCAACAGGAAAAAAAACTCAAGAAAAACTTTTGCATTGTTTTCATTGTCATTAATTTTTTGAATTGTTTCGATCTCGATTCTGATAGTATCTAGTGTCTTTTGTCATCTGCTGCTCTGAATTAATGTCATCAGCAAAACCCATCCAAACTCACATTTTTGATTTCTTAATCTAACTTTAAACCATCCCATAGAGATATGATCACTATTGATTTCAAACTGAAGTTTTTAAAAAAATTGTTTTGACAACAAGGTTGAATATTTATGAAATCTCTCAATTACTATTTAAAACAGTATGTTTATGGCTGAATGAGCCATCAACATACTGTCAAGACTGTTAAGGAATCAGTCCAGTGTTTCAGGAAACCAGGATCAAATCCAGATGAGCAACTTATGGAATTTTTTTGGGATCAATCGTTCCCAGATATGTCAAAGTTCCATCCTTTGCCACCCAGCCATCCCCGTGCTGGGTCTGGCCAAGTCAAACTCACAATGGGCCTGAAAAAGTCCTGTCGTACCTACAGGAGAGGAAAAAGGGAAAATTCTAGTATGTCATTCTTTTTATAATAAATTAGTCCACACAATTTTGAAGATAGCTATCAGGTAATCCCATAAATAATGTCTTTTTTGCGTGCCCATGTAACCAATGCCATATGATGGACAAATTACAAACTATCCTAAAGCCGCAATACTAGCACTGGATAGGATAGTTCATTGTATACACATGCATAGAGCAAGATCAATCTACAGCAAATTGTATGTCAATGACATGTGTCTGAACAAGATAGTGTCAGAAGAACACATACTGCATATTATACTTCATGAGTTCCATTGGGGACATTCAGTGATCCTAGCAACACAAAACTCCAATGACTTATATGGAGATGGAATTCTTGAAGTTTGCAAATGTTAAAAATGGTTCAAAAATTTTGGGCAGGGAATACTAGCCTCACTGATATGTCATAACCAGGGAGATGCTTCTGTGAGCAGCTGTTAAGGAAAATCCACTGCAAAAAGTTGAAGAATCAGAGCCACAGTACTCCATTTGACCCCTTAAATCATTAAGCAGCATATGCAGACCTTGGTTGTGTCCAAATTGAAAAAAATGAGTACCCTAGTGATGAGCTGAAATTAGAGCAGAAGCAATAGCATGTGAATGTTTTCTGTTCCCTATTGATCCATCACAGAAGAGCCATTTTTGGACAGAATGGTGATGGGAGACAAAAAAAAAAAAAAAAGATCCTGTATCACAACATTAAATGCAAACATGAATGGGTACCTAAAGGTGGTATAGATATACAGTGGGTAATTGGTAAACGAACATAATTCGTTCCAAGCCTGTGTTTGCTATCCGAATTGTTCATTAACCAATTATCAACTTACCATAGAATTTTGTGGGAATTTCAT